AGAAGAAGATGATGATGATGGTGATGGTGATGAAGAAGAAGAAGATGATGATGATGGTGATGGTGATGAAGAAGAAGAAGATGATGATGATGGTGATGGTGATGAAGAAGAAGAAGATGATGATGATGGTGGTGGTGATGGTGGTGATGAAGATGATGAAGATGATGATGGTTTTGTCCCTCCAGCACCCGTTCGTGTCTCAACCTCTCAGCCGGACTCTGGCCATTGAGCTGCTGGATAAAGTCAGTAATCCAGACCAGACGTCCTGTCAGGAGCACCTGAACCACCTGGACGATGACGAGGCTGACACAGAGGTAAAGGGGCGGAGTTAAAAGATGCAAGCAGATATTTGTTGTTGTTCCTTTGTTTCAGCTGGTCTTCAGTGGAAGGTCCTCCAGATTAAACCTGATCAGGTGATTTACCCTCAGTGTTCACACACACCTGATCAACAGCTGGTCAACACCTGATCCTCAGTCTGTAAGGTCACGTGGAGGTCGTCATCACCACACTAGTGTTCTGTCACATTCTCTCATGTTCCGTCATGTTCTCTTGGTGAGGTTCTCCGTGTTTTCTGTCCTTCTGTCTGCAGCTTCACCTGCTGTCAGGTAACTGCTGTTTTGTCCAATGATTGGTTAATTGATCAGTGATGTATATTTATATTTATGATTACTGATGGCATGTTGATTTTTTTGTTTGTGTTAGTTTGTTTTCTGTTAAATATCAGACACTTATTGTGACTGATGGAACAAACAGCTCTGTGTGTGTGTGTGTGTGTGTGTGTGTGTGTGTGTGTGTGTGTTGTAGCAGGGAAGAAGTGTGTGGACATCTGTATGGAGTCTGTGTGAGGAGGATCACTGCAGACATCTACCACAGTGAGACCACACCACACACACAACACACGCTCTTATATTGGTAGTTTTGTCGCGTCCATTCCTAAAGTACCACCTTAAACGCTCTGCCTGTTTACTTCTCCGAGGTCACATTGTTGAAGTCCAGGAGACATTCAAGTGAACTGGGAGAAAAAGAGAATGAGCTTAAAATTAGGATGAAAAGAGAATGGATGAAAGCAGATAAAAACATGTGAAATGCTGATGTTGTGACTTTTTCCAGCTGCGTGAAACGGATGTATTGATTGAATGTAAACATCATTGTGAACACGCACACTTACCTGTCCGTCGGAATAAAAACCGGCACTCTGCTCTGATGACATGCAGGATGTCTAGCCGTCTGTCAATGTTGACACAGCTGATAACAAACAATCATAATTTCAGTTCGTGAGGCCTCCGATCTTGTAAATCTGTATCTCCTTGTTCCCAGCCTGACGAGCAGTTCGCCAGTGTGCGTACACCCCGACAGCCTTGCCTTATCTCGCCGCTCTGTTTTAAGGCTCTGATTGGTTCGGCTGCCAATTTGTCCAAGCCGGGGCGCCGTCAGAGGTATCGTTAATGAGGCCCAGCGGTTGAAACGCAATGGCGTCTCCCATCCTCATTAAACCTATAGTTGACATCTCCAAGGGAGAACAGGGCCTCCACACACGCTCCACACTGCCCCCCCACAGAGAGAGAGGGGACGAGTGACCAGCAGGCGAGCCCCCCACAGACAGATCAACCGAACCAAAAGTGTGACTGTGAATGTCGCACGAGCTCAACACACACACACACACACAACAACACACTACACACAACACACACACACCTCTAGAACCAAACTATAAGAACTTATATTCGATTCTTTGTGTTCCATGATGAAGGTAGAGCCCCGCCCCCCTCCAGTCAGTGATGATTGTTTCACCTGTCTCACAAGTTGTTTCAAATGCAACGTCGACTTCTTCTGTTAAAAACGATTGCGTTCTGTGGGTCTGATGAGAGATATTACATAAAGATTTTTAGTCCTGATCCAGGACGTGATTTATATTTGTGTTATAATGGAGGTTTCACGTTGTGGACTCGAACCTGTGTTCTGTGTTTGTTCCTCCAGTAACCGGTCCGCTGACAGAGTCTCAGGGTTGCCTACGTTCCTCGGAAACTCTGCAGGTATCGTCCAATCAGACTCTTAGACTGTTCAGTCGTGTCAGTCAGATTGTAGAAACACTGTGTCCGTTGTCCCTCAGGGTTCTCTTCTACCTGCACAGTAAAGAAAAGATGGCACAGAGACATCAAGGTGAACTTACAGGTACGGACCAATCAGCTGAATGAGTTTAGTGATGTGCACATCATGACTATGTCTTTGTGAATAAATAACAAACTGTCAATAAAGTTTTGAGAGTGAACTGACAAAAACGTCATCACAGTTTCATGTTTCATGTTCAGTTCAGTGTGTGTGCGTGTTGTGTGTACTCACCTGGAGGGGCGGGGCTCCAGCAGCAGCTGGACAGTGTGTTGTTCTGCAGGGGAGCAAAACATCCTGTTTGGACTGATAAACGGATACATCAAACTGGTGTGAGTCAGCTGTCAGGTAGCTCCGCCCACTGAACAGTTAGAGGGCGTGGGATGTATCAGGT